ATTACCCATTCCCGTTATCCTCACTTTATGTCCCTAAAACAACAACTATTACAAGGGACCTAATCTAGGATTTTCATCGGGACGGACAATACTACAAAGGGGTTTCCTTAACAATAGATGTCCTAAAGGCAACCATGAGGGGGATGGAGTACACTGGTGAACACATCGTTCACAACACCTACAGGTTATGAGCCTGCTAGCGTTCCACTGGACTGTCTAGAAAGAGTCCGTGGTCGTCATTCATACTCCGCTAGATGACTAGATCAACAACAACATCGAGGCCTCTCATCATTTTATTTTATCACACACCAACTGTCTACCCATGTTCTACCCAACATATTAGTAGATAAAATATATACATTTATATACAGCTTAAAGCCTGTACAAAACATCCATTCAACAACTAGTTCAAATCAACAAATAATATATAAACACATAGCACGTATTTTATAAAGAATACTTCATATCTATGTGTTAAAAGAAAACGAAAATACACTCACTTGATAAGACGATGATCGGACAGCACCTCGTCTCTTAAAATAATCTTTTCCGATAAAACCGGGATGTTTTTCTTGAAAACCGGGCTTCTCGCGGGCAGAGTTTCGGCTCGGAAACATTACTTCTCGGGATCTTCGGGGCTTCGGAAATTGCCTCGGGTCTCGGGAATAATACCGGGGCTTCGGGATAGTTCTTGCACGAAAAAAGATGGAAAACGGGGGAGAGAGAGAAGAGAAAAGGAGCAAAAAGGTCGGCTGCCCTCGCACCCTTTATATAGGGCCTGAACCCTCGCATTACGCTGGGCGTAATGCTCAGCTACGCGGGGCGTAGTGCGAAGACGTCACTGCTTACGTATTCGGAGCACTCGAGTGTTGGGTCAGGTCCGAGTCGGTTCATGCATCAGGGTATGCTGGGCGTACTCAACTAAGCTGGGCGTAGTTCGGATCAGATCGATGACTCCCCCCCTCCTTCGGATAATATCCGAATTAATATTAAAATTAATATATTTTTAATTATTTATAAAACTTCCGAAATTCATATCTTCCTCATACGAACTCCGTTTTCGACGTCCTTTATATCCACACGTAGGTGAGACTAAGCTCTACAACTTTCGTTTAGACTCCGTCGGAAAATTTTGATTTTATTTTTATTATATTATTTTTAGTAGGTCGGGACAGGAAAACTCCGTTATAAAATCATAACTTCTTCATCTGACTTCCGTTTTCGTCTGTCTTTTTACCGTTGGACTACTATCGATGAGATCTTCAATTCTCATTTAGAAAGTTTCGGCTAGAAACCACTCGATCTCAAATTCGAGTATTCGGGCTGCATACTGCTAAGCTGAAACTTAGAAAAATCATAACTTCCTCATACGAAGTCAGATTTGGGCATTCTTTTTATGCACGCTCTCGGTTTAACATATTATACGACTTTCGTTTAGATTACTAAGGCTAGATATCGCTCTATCTTAAATTCGTATTTTACGTCATACAATGTCGTGCCGGTTCTGTTGCGAAACTTCGACAGGTCATAACTTATTCGTTATAACTCGGATTTCGGCATTTTTTATATATTCGGAAACCTCGTCACGACTACTACGTCTTCATGTATCAATATTGGGTTTTTCTAACATTTCATTTTGACGCTTATTCTTAACCTTAATTAAATTAAGACACACAATTAAGCACAAAACACACAATACTCAAATAATACACTTCTATTATTTCAAAATGGGTTACAAAGGTTAACCTAGACTATCACATCATCATTAATGCTTTGCCCAGAAACACGGGCGTTACACTGTGTGATTCAGCAGTTCGAGGTGAGTTTCCTGACTGTGTTTAGCGGGTCGAAGGCACCAATGCCGACCCGTGGTTATGTTATGTTGGATTGCTAGATGTATGTGTGACTCTTGTATGTGTTATGTGCTCGTATGCTTGTCGAGCGAGGCCCGATGACCATTTTGTATGCTATGTATCTTTGTGATTATTGCATGTGTTATGTGTTTATGTGTTTATATGTTTTATATGTATGCCGGACGGGGCCCGATGACTAACAAATCTGTATACTGAGCGGGGCTCGATGACGGGCGGGACCTATTATGTGTTTATTATGTATGGTATGTGGTATTTGGGGAACTCACTAAGCTTTGTGCGTACGGTTTTCAGTTTATGTTTCAGGTACTTCTAGTTCCAAAGGGAAGAGCTCGGGATGATTGCAGGGCACACACCGCCTCGTTCCGCATTTTGTGATTTACTCTTATTTGATATGATGATTGATACTGTAACACCCGGAATCTAGAAGATTAATTGTGGAAATAAATCTCATTTCCTAGGGACCAACACGGTGAGTTGATGGTGGGAAACTCGACGTGTTGGGGGCTTTTGGGACGCACATTTTTATGAACCAACTCGGTGAGTTGGTGAAGGGAACTCGGCGAGTTGGACGCTGATTGAGAAAACCTAATTTTCAGGGTGTTGCACCCTATTTAAAGGCCTTAAGTCCCTTGGTTGGCCTCCTTACCAGCCTCCTCTGTCCAGAAACCCTAAAATCAAGCATCATCTTCCATCCTTGAGTGTTCATTTTTTGTGCATGTTGAAGGAGATAAGGAATTAGGAGTTGCTTGGCTTGAAGAAGAAGTCTTGGATCCAGAATCTCTGTCTCATTTGCCAAGTTTTTAAGGTATCAAATTCTCATCTTGCTTTAGTTGCTTAGATCTCTTATTGGGTTAGATCTTATACTTTTTAACCATGGTTGGGTGGATGTTGGGGATTAGGACGTTCCAAATGTTTATTCTTTCAGATCTAAGGTCTACATGAGCTCTTTTGGCATAAAGGTGCCAACTTTATAGATTTAAGGGCTTCATGCATTCATTAAGTCTTTCATTTAGCCCTTTTTGAGCTTTTGAGCTCCTCCTAGTCATGCTTAAGCGTAAAGTTGGAAATTTTACGTGGCCATCTAGCCTTATGGGTTCAGATCTGCATTTTGGGGTTTTGTCTTTAATAATTAAGTGCTTAATGATTAAGCCCTCACTCTTTTAAGTCTAGGGTTTGGGTTTGGACCCATTTTGGTGGTTCCTAGGGGTAAAGTGGGAAACTTATGGTTTTGAATTTTTATTAGTAATTTGTAATAATTCCTCTGGGATTTGAATTCCCTTATCAGGTTATCCTGATCTTGAAGATGAACCTTAAGCTTTTGGGATTTGAATTCCCCTGTTAGGTCTTAGATTAAAGTCTAGGGGAATAATCAACATTTTTGGAGTTTGTACTCCTGTCTGGATTTTTGGTAAATCCACAACCTTCAACGAATTTGTTGAATTTTTACCTGGAGTCGTTTGCTCAGGACTAGACGTTTCTTTTCTTTTTAAAGGAGGTGAAACATTGACCTCTTGTTGTTCAGTGTTCTTTTGAACACTTACATTTTCTTCTTGACTCATAGGAGTGGAAGGAGAAGAAAGTTCCTTTTGATGTTCAGACATAAATAGTCTTACAAGTTTTAATTGGTTTCTGACGAATTCCAATTCTTACTCAATAAGAGCTTGTTTGAGCATAAGCTCTTGTTCTTTCTCCATTTGAGAAAGGCTATGTACCTGTAGTCCAACTTATGGTCCGATGTTAAAACGTATTGGGTCGTTAGACCACAAAAGTATAACACCGAATGGACTGAGGTTCAACGAAGCTTAACGTATGATCTGAAAGATCGGAAAGTTGTTCTTCAGAATCTCCTCTAACTTTATTTTTTTAAAGGATAAATACATAACAAGGCTCTGATACCAGGAATTGGTTGCGGATGAAGTTAAGTTAAAAGCTTATCTTTTAACTTTGTTAAATGGTTTTTATTAGAGTTAAGACCCCTTTTAAGAGATTTTGTACACGAATGTGTGCAAATCTTCTACTTTTAGCATTTATCTGCCTTCTAAAATCATCTCATAGAGACGTTTGTAGCGTTAAATCTATTAAAGAAATTTCATCATTAATGAAGGGTCCAGTTAATGGTTTGGTCTAGGCTTTCATTGTAATAGTTCATTATGGGTCTTTAGTGTGTTTTTGGTGTTGTTTAGCAGTTTACGGCCCAAGAGTGAGTTTACGGCCGTAAACCTGTTTACGGCCGTAAACCCAGTTTGCGGCCCAAGTCATGTATAAATAGAGGAGTTGTAGGTCTTTGTCTAGTTGTTGATGCCAGAGAGTTTACGGTTTACTGTCGAGTTGTACCAGACGTTTTATGCAATAAACATGTGCAAGCTTGATTTCTTTTCTTCTTCTACTTCTATTGTGTTTGCTATTGATTGTTTGTTGCTTGATCATTGGTAAAGATCTTTTTCAGGACCTTACAATTAATATAATCTAAATTTCTTTGAAGTTGTTTAATAGTAATTCTGCAATCTTTTATTTGAGAAACCATGAACTTATTAGGTTCTTGATTGGCTAATACTTTGTTACTACTCACTTGAGTTGTTATAAGACTTTTTGCTTTTTATAAAAGATTATTTATTATAGAGTTTATAGTTTTTGAAATTGAAAAACTTTTAACGGGATAGTTTTGTGATAAATTAAAAGATAGTTTTCATACCTTGCTCGTGCATGAGGCTCTGTAATTTCTTCGTCAATCTTGGTGTCGATCGTTCTTTCTTCCCTACGTCCTTCTGACGGGCGGTACTTGTTAGTACTAGATCATTATGACAAATAAGACTCCAGACTTTAAAAATACAGACAGTTGCACAAATGATGGATTGAAAAAACTTCTCTAATTTATAAACGAACTAAAACCCTGAAGTTTTTATAATTTCAAACTATAAACCCTATATGGGGTTTTACTCACACATTTGCAGATTTTTAATAGGAATGCTTAAGGCTCTCGTATTTTCACTCTTCCTAAAAATTAAAGCATAACTCTCTATTTATAGAATCATAGAGAGGATCTGATACAAGCGTTTTACGTCACTGCTGACCAAATCGTCCACCAATTACATTATTGTGTAGTGGCTTATCTTTGAGGGTCCTCTCCTATTTGGTGCTTGTCGAGGAATCTTCTTTAATAATAACTTTGCCATTATTATTTTCGGTAATGGAGGCCACTTTGATGGTTGAGCATCTCTGACAATTGTATCTGTTAGTGCTTTTGTGGAGCGTCTTACAGATGTCTGCCACGTGTTTGCCGATTAAGTCTGGCTTTAGCAGAGAGTTTTGGAAGGCTAAGAACAGTTGTTCATCGGCCGGAGAAATCTCTTTGTTGTATTTGCTGTAGATTAAGGTCTTCTCATTGGCATCATATCCATTGATGAAAATCTTGCCATCTGCTAAAAAACTGAAAACCTTGTTGATAAAGATTTCAATTCTAGATTTTGCTAGCTGGAGGATATCGGCTCTTTCAAGCTTTTCTTCCATGGCTTTGCTGGGTAGATAGGTTTCTTGCTTGCAGATGCCTATTTGTACTAAATGATGAGGATGGTATTTTATTTCATCCTTGTCATTCTAGTATGGGATGCTAGTGTTGATTTTAGAAAAATGTCTTGATCCTTTTTGCAACATCTTGTTCTGAAAGTTTTTATTGCTTTCGTAAAGCTTTTAGAGAAAAGCTTTATTTCCTGTAGGTTTTGACTACGATAGATTGTTTTTACCAATCCTAGTTGAAATGCTTCATACACTTGTAAAGAGTTGGCATTTTTGTAGAAATTGTAGTGACTTAAATTCTTCCCGTCAATAGTGGATAATTTTTCTTCTACAAGTTTTTCTTCTGTTGCACTTCGAGCATACCTGTAACAATACTCGAAGTCCTTTATCTTAATTTCTACTGGGAGGTCAGGTGTGACTTCTTCATAAATCTTGGGAGTTCTTCTTGGAAGGCTTCCAAGAATGGTTTTAGAACTTTTGGTAGAATTTAAGGCTAACTTGAATGTGTTAGTCCTTAAGGTTTCTGCTGCAGTGATAATCTGTAGTTTTGGACACCTTTCAGATCTTGTGTATTGATCTGCAGCTATCTTGGCTTCAAGAAAGTTATTAAACTTTTTGTGTTTAATAATTTTAACTCCTTCAGTTTCCTTTTTGGTGATATTCCAGTCTTCAAATATACCAGCGTTGGGTCCATTGAATACAACGTAGTATGGTTTTGATATTTTATTAGGAATTTGTAATAATTCCTTTGGGATTTGAATTCCCTTATCAGGTGATCTTGATCTTGAAGATGAACCTTCAGTTTTTGGGATTTGAATTCCCCCGTTGGGTCTTAGATTAAAGTCTAAGGGAGTAACCAACATTTTTGGAGTTTGTACTCATGTCTGGATTTTTGGTAAATCCACAACCTTCAACGGATTTGTTGAATCTTTACCTGGAGCCGTTTGCTCAGAACTAGACGTTTCTTTTCTTTTTAAAGGAGGTGAAACATTGACCTCTTGTTGTTCAGTGTTCTTTTGAACACTTACATTTTATTCTTGACTCATATGAGAGGAAGGAGCAGAAAGTTCCTTTTGATGTTCAAATATAAATAGTCTTACAGGTTTTAATTGGTTTCTGGCGAATTCCAATTCTTGCTCAATAAGAGCTTGTTTGAGCATAAGATCTTGTTCTTTCTCCATTTGATAAAGGCTATGTACCTGCAGTCCAAATTATGGACTGAGGTTTAAACCTCTTGGGTCCTTAGACCACCAAAGTATAACGCCGAATGGCTTTGATTCCTGCATGAAAAGAATATCAAACCTGATTAGTTTTTATGTGAATTCTCGAGTTAAGAAGTCTGCAAAGATATTCTTTTCTCCTTTAATGTGCTCTACTTCGAAGCTATATCTGGAAAACCACATTTGTCATCGAACTAATCGACCTTGTTTGTTATCTGCAGAAATGTTATTTCTTAAAAAATAAGCAAAGTTTTTGTTATTTGTCCTTACTGTAAAATTTACAGGTGTTAAATAGATTGAAAACTTTTCAATTACCCTTTTAATGAAAAGATATTCTTTTTCATTAGAATGGTAATTTCTTTCAGCATCCTTAAATGATCATGAGGTGTATCTACAAATTAATTCTTTGGATTGACCCTCAGAATTTATTGCTTTAAGGATTCCTCCCCAAAAATTATCTGAAGCATCAGTTTCGATAATTAATTTATCATCTATATTATGATGATATAGAGGTGGAAATTCTTTTAGGTTCTTTTTTATTTTTGCCATATAGCTAGAATCATCTTCAGACCATGACCAAAGGACATCTTTCTTAAGCTTGCATTGTAAGGGACTTCTTATTTTTGAAAAGTTTAGGAATGTAGTTTGAAACATATGTTAAGATTACTAAAAATCTTTGTAACTGTTTTTTATCTTCAATTTTATTAGGAAATTTATGAATATTTTCCAAAATATGATTTTGAAGACGATGACTTCCTTGTTCTATTTCTAACCCAAGAAAATTTATTTTACTTTTAAATGTTGTGCTTTCTTTTTGGAAAGAATGATTGCAAGAAGATCACATTTTTTTAGAACAGCTGGTACGTGTAACAAATGTTCATTTTCATTGTTGCTGAATATGAGGATATCATCTACATAAACACAACAAAATTTTTCAAAAGATTTGAATGCATTTTGCATATGTCTTTGAAATATGGATGGAGCTTGTTTTAGACCGAAAGGTACAACAGTCCATTGGTAATGTCCTTGGGGACATGTAAAAGCTGTTAAGAGTTGTGACTCAGCGTCAAGTAAAGCTTGCCAAAAGCCAGATTTACAGTCGAAAGAACCAAATATTGTTTTTCCTCTAATAAGGGTGAGAAGTCCATCTTTATTAGGGAGATTATGGTTGTCACCTATAGTTGCTTTGTTAATAGCTTTTAGTTAACTACCATTCTTTTTCTTTCCTCTTCTTATTTCTGCATCATTTTCGACAAGGAAAGCGGGAGATCTGTAGGAGATTTACTTGGAATGATGACCTTTATTTCAATTAGTTCTTTGATTTGTTTACTAAATTCTTCGACATCTTGAGGACCGTATTTCATAGGTTTAAGTGTGATGATAGTGGCCAGGTCGATTAATTTTATATTTGCTTTCATCCATTGTTTAGACTTTATTGGGTCTATAGGATTTTCTGAGCAAAATTTTCAAGTAAACTTTCAATTTTTTAAAATATTTCTTGGTTAAGAAGAAATTTAAATTCTTCCCCATTCTCCCCATTTTAAAAGGCAAAATTTCTTCAATTTTGATTTGAGAGACGTTGACAGGTTCTGGTTTTTTAATCTTTGAATTATTTTTCATTGATTCTAAAAATCAAGGTTTTCCATTTCTATAAGCGTTTGTAATTTTATCAACAATGATTTGAACACCATTGTTGTGGAAAGTAACTGTTTTGAGATTTTGTACAAATGGTCTATACAAAAGACATAAGTTATTTCCTAGGATGAAATCTATTCCACATTCTTGTTGGTATATAGAGGGGATATGGAATATTTCTCCAGCAAGTCTTATCTGTAAATCAACACATTTTTTGTTGATAATTACAGGTCCGTTTGCTGTAGAAACCTTTATAGGTTTTGGAGTGTTAATCCAATGTTCTTCTAGAATAACATATTTACTTGCGATACAAAGACTGGCTCATGTATCAATATAACAGTTTAAATCAATCTTTTTATATCCGACGAATCTAAATGTACCTTTAACATAGATTGAATTAGGATTTGTGATAGTTAGTATCATGTTTTTAGAGTTCATGACATTTGAATCAGTCTGAATCAGTATCTGATTCTGTAGATGAAGAAGATGATGATTCATCAAGAGGTTCTTCAATAAATGTGTAGACGATTTGTTCATCTTGAAATTGTTCTTTTATAGGCCTAAGGTCCATAGATGACGCTATTTCAAGGAGTTTAACTTTTTGTGGGTAATCTTTCCTATTAGGACACTTATTGGCATGGTGTCATTCTCCATTGCAAACCCAACATCTACAATTCTTTTTATTTTTCGTACAAAATTTACTTTTGTCTTTTGAAAATCTTTTGATTTTTGGAAATATTTTCCCGGTTTAAACCGTCTAGTATTTTTCTGTTTTGAAAATCTTTTGCTGTTCTTTTTTGAATATTTATTAAATAATTTCCTTGAAGAATTTTTTGTTTTATGGGTAATTTTGCATCCATACTCTAAGGGTTTTTCTTTTGTTAAATGATTACAACAATTTTTGTTAAAACGTTTTAGTCTTTTTTGTGTGTTTGATAGATTACAAATTTTTTGAATCTCATCAATAACAATTATCTTAGCAAAAGTAAGACTGTAAATTGTGGCATTTGTAGATTCGGTTATAAATCTATTATGAGATTGTTGTCCTACAATAGGAATTTTAAATTGATATTGTTTGATCAACTCGGGATATAGAGTTGAATCATTCATTTTGTAAAGATTTGTTTCGTAGTCACAGGTGTAATGATCTAGAAAGCAAATATCACATATGGTGAGATTCGTAAGTCTGGATTTGGCTTTTTCGATCTCTCCATTTTGTTCATTGGCTTTGTCTTCTATAAGTTCTATACCAAGGAATATCATGTAGATGGCATCAAGCATGTCTTGGAATACTGTCATTGAGTTATGACTAATCCAGTTTGTATTTTTGATAAAATTTTGAACTATTCATGATATTTTATGGTCAAACAATAAAAGGATAGATTCTTTTGTTGCATATTTTTCTTTGTTAGTCTGAATGATTAGACTTATTTCCGAAGTCCATCTGTCGATAAATCCTTTTCTATTTGTTTCAATGTTGTCAATATTGAAAACGTTTGTTCCGAACTGGTTTGGATTTCCAGTGGGAAGATCTGGCATAGAGCCAATTCTATGACCTTGTTCAGTTTTAGGTCTTTTTCTTCTTTCACCTTGAAAAGAAGATTCTCCAAGATGATCGAAATGTGATTCGGTCTTATTCATCCCGAAGTTAGGCCCTATATCAGAAGAAAGAGATTCTACTACTTCTTCTTAAATATATACAAAAGTTTCTTTGTTAGGTGTTTCTTCTATGACGTTAATCGTTTCATCAAGGTGGAAAAGTTGTTTAAGTTCCTCAGATGTTGAGATTTCTAAGTTTACTATATCCTTTCCTTTAGATTTAGCAAGATCTGGTAACCTAAGAGCTTGATCAATAATCGAGACATTTGATCCATTGATTATTAATTCTTCATCTTCATAGTTATCCCAGAAGAATTTTTCTACTTGAGATAAATAGTCTATCATGTTGACTTAAAGTAGTCTTTAGGCCATGACATAGAACTGTGATTTTATGATGTCAACCATAGATGTCATCCCATAAGTTGTTTCATTTGATTTTGCACTTCTTTATATCTAAGATTAAAATCTTTCATTTGGTATGTAAGAACAGCTTTATAGGCAACTTCTTTTAATAGATCATCGAAGTTTTTAGAAATTTTATTAAAAGTTTCTAGTAGTTTTGAGTTATGTTCTATTATGTTGTTCATTTTTTCTAACTGAGTAATATTTTTTTCAAATTGATTGTTATCAATTTCTCCTCCATTTTGAAGGGCAAGACTTAAATCTCTCTTAAATTGATTGAAAGGTTTATTATTTTTTTATATATCTTTAGAAATATCTTTATGAATTCCAAAATAGTGATTTATTTTGAGTGTATTTAACCAGCATCTTGCGACAATCTAATTTATATTGTTACAAAGGTTAGCTAGGGTTTGAACACCTACTTTTCCTGAAGAAGAAAAAGCATATTCTTTTTTCTGAGTAGGATCATCAAGATTTTTAAGTCTCAATGATTTACCCTTTTTGTAAATATGAGGAAGGTCTATCTTACTCATTTATTACTTCGCGCTTAGTTGGCTGATCGTTTGATTTAAATTATCAACTCTAGAAGACATACTTCTTATGCTTTTGAGTATATCTCTTGGAGTAGGTTCTAGAGATTTGGATATTTCACCTATATGAAGAGAATCTATTGAGATTCTAAGTGGTAGCTTTTATACTAAAGATTTTTTTGTTTTTGGCTATGTTTAAAGCCCAAGAGCTATCTTGAGGATCTATGTCACAAAATTGTTTATCTTTGACATGTCCTATTTCTGAGAACACATATTCAAGTTCTATGTATTCTTCTTTTTTATAGTCTATGCTATGACGACTATTTGCCAATGCATATCCTATGAGATAGGTTAGTGTGAAGGGTTTATCTCCTGGATTCACGAGATCACTTCTTTCAAAGTGATGAATAAAAGATAAAACCTTATTTAAGTTTGCGGATTTCAGATCTAAGGCAAATTTAGGATAAACTGAAAACA